TTGAGTCTGTCAAAAATGTAAACAGGTAGGGCAAAGAGAGACTGAGAAAATGGAGGTGTTTGACAAAATGGGTTAGAGAGAGGAGCTGAGACTGAGGATTTGGAGTTTGGTTTTGGGATATAGTGAAATTCAGGTTTCTAAATTATAGAAGGAGAGCTTCTGAGCGGTGTGGGTGAAGGTGGGTGGTCTGAGAGGCCTTGAAGGAAATTGTTTCATGTAATTTTTGGCTTGAGAGATGAAGATTATGAGATCGATCTTCCCTTATAAGGCAACAGACAGTTCTATCATGGATATAAGGTACCTCTCAAAATTTCATGATACATTGTTTATTTGCATTTTATTTATGGTAAAAAGACGAGTTTCTATATTGTTTTTTAGCGATATTTGTTCAAGTCGATGGTTGTTTTCATTTTATTGACTTGATAGGGTATTAGTATGGAAAACTGTTGATTTTAGACAAGTTTTTGAGCATACAAACTCTTTAACTCAAGATTTGTATAACTGAACCGTATCCTGAGAATATGTTCACTTGAACGTGATTGCGCATTGGTTTTCGTACAAAGTTTAGGACCATCTTGCGCCCCCAAGTCCAAAGCTGAAGTACTGCTCGAATTTGAGTACAGAGTACAACCACAAACACTTTAACTTCGAGCATAAACGGATTAAAAAGTGTTCTTCACTCTAACATTTGGTTAGATCGCAATGATTCTAACCTCAGGCTTTTTGAATTCGGTCAAGAAGGATTTATTTCAATTTTCTGGATCGCTTAGAACTAAGGTCAAAAATATAAAATTTTCATGCTAAACTCTACCTTTGGCCTAGGGGGGACTCTGCGAAATTGATTCTCGCGGGCAAACTGACGTGGTTACAAGTTTGAAATATTTGACACAGGTAAAGATAAATATGTATAAATATATTTGCATGTAAAGATCACCTGACATAGGATTATTTAAAAAAAAAAATTACACATTATACTATAGAAGTAAGATGCATCTCGAAAATCTAGTAGAAAGTAGTGCTTTAAAGTTGGAAAACTTTCATATTGATCATATTGACCTCGAGATATATAGATACAAAAAATAAAGAATTTCCAATAGTAGAAATAATGCATCTTCTAACAAGTTATCTAAACCTCAATTTTCAAGAGTTTCAAGTGTTTATAGATCTGTTTGATTTGCACCATTTTTAGAATTTAATTTTCGAAATTATGGTTGAACATAAAGTTTCAACCCATCATAAAATTTCCAACTCCAAAACTACATCTTTCAACAAAATTTAAAGGTGTCTTTTACTTATATGGTATAAGGATGTACTACAATATATGCTTGTCTACCATATTATATTGTGGGACCTAGTGGCTGCTCAAAGGTCTAGAAGGATTTAGCAATGAATTATAAATATTTTTCTATCAGTGGCTTTTAGCATCCATCTTTAGAGTTTCTCAATTGAGGCCCAAGACATTGCAAACACACATAAAAGCTAGATAGAAACTCGGGAGTGGCTTTTAGTATCCATCTTTAGAGTTTCTCAATTGAGCCCCAAGACATTGCATAACACACATATAAGCTAGATAGAAACTCAGGAATGGAGTACTTAGCCAAAAGACACTATCCCCATCTAACTCAGGAATCGAGTACTTAGCCAAAAGACACTATCACTATCCAATTTGACATCTAATAAGTAGAAAAGATTGTAACTTTGTACAAAAGATAAATAATCTTCTTACATACAATCCTTTATTTTAAAGGGTACCCGTTTTAGAGGTGCTGAAGAACAGACAAACTTAGGACACCTAGAGCGAGTTTAATAATAGTAATTTGGAATATGAATGATTGTTTAGGTTCCGTTTGCACAATCTAGCCAGTCATATGTAAATTTCATTTTTAATTGCCTTTATGGTAATCATAAATATAGTTACTCTTAAATGGTCCCAATCAAATAGAGTTTTTTTTGTGATAGTGACAACGACGAAGCCTATTAAAAAGCATTTTTCAGACAAGCAGGTTCCATCACAATCGTTCCATCACAATCAGAAAAGGTAATGGCAGAACAACACCGTCGGAGGTCCATCACCATCATCTTTAGAGTTTTTTTTTAACTATTTGAAGACAATTACACAAATCATGATCCATAATTCTACTCGATCAAAAAACATACTCTCAACGAAACTATAAGTACCCATATATTTCTCATCACTTACAATCTCTAGTAAAAATACATATGATATATATGACATTTTTTATATTCGACATTCATATAAAACAAAAACGAACTAGAATGATTGAAGAAGATGAAGACTAGCTAGATTGCAACTTCACTGCCATTGGCTCTTAACTGAGACGATACGTTTGGTTTGTGTGAAATGGTTTTTAAGAAACGTTTTCACATGAAAAGATTATCTCACGTGGTTAATTATGAAAATAATTTTATACCTATTAGTATTAGTACATCTTTTCACACCAAATTTAATTTATGTAAAAACATTCTCACACTTAACCACATCAGATAATTTTTTCATGTGAAAATGTTTCCAAGAATATATTTTCAACACGACCACACATGTAACCAATGAAATTCACCAAAACTCGCTACCCTCGTCGGTCACCCTCAACATGTTGACCTCCCACTCTCAAACCTTCACTCCTCTCCCTCTCTAAAACCGTCGTCCGGCTTTCTAAACCCCATTTTCTCTTTCTAAAATCAGGTATCAAGATTTGTTTGATAAGCAATGTTTGAAAAATTAACTCGGGTCGACTACTCACCCCATCCCCAGCCGAGTACTCACCTAATTACTGTAGGTGCTGAAAACTACTTAATATATATATACATAATTAAAAAAAAAAAAAAAACAAAACACAACTAATTGTGGTTAAAAAAAAAAAGCAAACAAATAGATTTTAAAAATTGAGTTTGTAACGAGGAGTATTTTCAAAATTTTCCAAAAAAAAAATGGCATAATGTAAAAATAAGTGTCCATAACCAAAACACTTTCCTATCTTTACCAAAATGATAAAAAACATAAATAAACCGTTACAAACATATTTTTTATTTTTATAATTTAAAAAAAAAAAAATTCAAAGACCTCCAACTCGGGCTCAAAAAGGGCTTGAGCCAAGCAACTCCGACCTTTTGAACACGGTTGAGAACCCATGCTTCACAAATCTAAGGCATCAACGCATGGAAATATGTGCATAAAAATATCTCTCAACAAACCTCCCTGAGTGCTCAGGTCGAAGAATAAAAGACAAATATGAGCAAGCAGTCCACTACGTCGAGGCAAATTCTCTCTCATCTTAAAGAGAGAGAGAGAGAGAGAGAGAGATGTGAGCACAAAGAAGCCTGCGCAAAAGGGTGAAAGGCCAGGCCTTCAATTGCTGCACTGAATCTTACAGTGGCGTGGTCCCTCTCTCTGTCTCTAGCCTCTCTCTAGGTTCTCCCAGCTTAACCTTGATTCATAAAAGCTGAATACAAAAGGGCCCACCCATCAACAAGCCCACACTTGCCCTTTAAAGCTTTGACCGAACTCAGGTAACTCCCCGAAATTTTGGGGCATGAGAATTTCATGAATAAGTAGTACTTCAGATCTAATAGATCCACAACATTACCGGTATTTCAGCCTCCAATATTCGTGAATAGCCAATTTCCACCAATATTTAGGATTGATCTAATCACCAATGGTTAGGTATGACCAAGGAGCATGTCATATACACTTGGTGTATGGTGTAAGGTACATCGACATGACAGGACCATCCACTGTCCATTCCAAAACATGGGCGGTTGAGATCAAATGTCCATTCCAATATTTTCCCTTCACCCTGTCTGGGCGGTTGAGATCAACAGAATTGCTAGGATCTCCAATTCCAATTCACCTTGTCTTGATGATTCCCGAATCAGATCGGGCTTATATATTACAAAGAAATTCAGAAAATAAGTCAAAAGCTATGCAAATTGAGGCGGTTCTAGGGTTCCTCAAACCGGAATCACTCACCTAACGACCCCGATCGAAATCAAGCAATTCCAATTCACCTTGTCTTGATGATTCCCGGGGTGAGATCGGGGTTATATATTACAAAGAAATTCAGAAAACAAGTCAAAAGCTATGCAAATTGAGGCGGTTCTAGGGTTCCTCAAACCGGAATCACTCACCTAACGACCCCTATCGAAATCAAGCAATTCCAATAAGGGCCAGCCATCTTTCAAACGCTGTTCAAAACTACATGTGAAGGCCAATTATCTAACCCAGGTGAATGAATTGTTAATCTACCTCCACATGCATCCTAATATATAAGTAATCAGGTCTGGTTCATATTTTTTAAGTACATCTAAATCTAACAGAAGGGCAAGTACAGTGGACAGAGCACATGAAACCCCCTTATTAACAAACAGTCAAATGCCATAAATAACTTTATCTTAATTGTAGTGCCAGACGAATGAATAATAAATAACTGCTCTTAATATTTTTCTACTTTCCTATGGTGCACCATTAATGCAGCTACAGTTTCAAGACCCAAAGTTGAACCATGTTTTATGAACTCAATAAGAAAAAAAAATTGCAGAATGGAGAACATCCTTTTGAATATATAAAGCTACTGGTCTTCCCCAGCAATAAGTAATTGCATAAATGAATAAAATGAGACCGGTGTCCCCTCCCATATCTAAGGATAGAGGAAGCAACCCAACATGAATAAATGCCAGATATGATAAAACAATAAAACCCACCCCATGCATAGCAAAAACCAAAGGATAGATCACAATAACTTCGCGTTGAAGCTATGAAAACAAAAATCTACTATGACATTGTACAAACCATATGGTAATTACGTCGAAAGTGCATGGAGCTGCACATGTAATTCTTGCCTATAAAAGTGTAAGTTCAATGTAATTGAACGCAAGCCACATATACCCACAATGCCAATAAAAAAGAATGAAGCCATGACTACATGAGAAAATAAGACATTAACATCCCATAAATCACACAGTATGCATCACAGTGCATAAACTGAATTAAGACGTACCTTTTGCATCAAAAGAGGAAGAAACACAGCTAGGACAACCAAGGAATCAACATCCATTGATTATCAAAGACAGAAGAAACATGAGCAATTGAGAAAAGGAATCTAAGAACGAAAAACGGAAAAAAAGAGAAAGCTGCAAAGTAAATATCCTACCAACATAATAGGGGGCAATTATACAGAAGATCAAGACAAAGCAACAGCTAGGAAAACCAAGGAATCAACATCCATTGATTATCAAAGACAGAAGAAACAGGAGCAATTGAGAAAAGGAGTCTTAAGAATGGAAAAAAAAGAAAGAGAGAAAGAAAGAAAGAAAGCTGCAAAGTTAATATCCTACCAACATAAGATGGGGCAATTATACAGTAGATCAAGACAAAGCATCAACCATTGGTCTGCAAAGGACACAAAAGCTCAGCTGCCCGTTTCCTTTCCTATAACCAGCAACTGAAGCAGCAACCCAATTGAGTGAACACAATAGCAAGCAAGAGACCAACACAGACTAACAAAGTAAACAAGTCCATCAGGTCACTATATAAACCTCCTCCATATCCAAACGAGTAAGAAGAAACCCACCTTCCAAACTTTCACAAGAACCCGCTAAAAATTCGAGAGAGAGAAGAAAAATAGATCTCGCGTCAAAGAGGTGTATACTAGAACCAAGACCAACCAAATGCTTGTGATGCTCATAGCATGCTATCAGTCTTTGCAGGGAGCCTCCTAAAGAAGTTCAGAGGCACAGAGGGGAGCTTGTGGCGAAATCTCGGGTGCCTCAACACATAAAAGGCTGTTAAAATGGCCACCACTCTAAAAGGAGTCACATAAAGAACAATTGCTGCCAGAAAACAGAAGGTAACGAACAGGGCAGTGGCCCTTGGGTCCCTCCAGCTCAATAAGGACTGCAATCTTTCACCCTGAGTGGCCATATCCCCCACTACAGTTTGTATTCTTCCAGCCACACTTCTCAGTCTATCATACCTCATCCTCACTATATCAGAATGCCTCGAAGTGGGAAAAGTATCAAATTCCTCATCCAATTCATCAGGGTGAACATTTTCAGCATGAGAGAGTCGAGTATCCATGTAAGGAGGCTGCCTTGGCCTCCATCGATAGTGCCATATACCAATCAAAAACATGTAGAGGAAGATGGTCGGGAGTATGAGTTCAGGGTAGAGAACCAGAATGAGGAAGAGGATGTGTACCAATATAGTTGTTAGGGGATTCTTCCAATTACAAATTTTGTCCAACCATTTCCCTACAGCAATCATCCCACTCATAACCGACATGATTCTAAAGAAATTCGCTTTGCTTCTCCTCATACTCCACATATGAGAATCATAATCTAGCATATACTCAACAACCTCTTTCCTCAAAGAGGGTTCGGCCCTACTCAGCCTCATCGAAACAATTTGGGTAGCTTGGTGCCTCAGGCTATCAAGCTGCGTCACTGATAAGGGGTGAAGATAATGCATTTTAGGAAGCAAAGGTTGGGAATAGATATGCAGCATATTAAGCAGAGACGAGCGAGCAAACCGAACTGCTAATTGAACCTCACCCATTTTCTTAACCCCAGAAGAATGCAAAACCAAAAGGGGGTAAGAATGGGTGTAAACCCGATCAGTTTCGAGAGTAGAGAGTCGAATCCTAACTTTACCAATTCTCGAGTCCTTGGTTCCATTAGCTTTGTCCCCAGCTAAATGGCAATTATCAAAAACCCCAACTGTAACCACAGTACACGGATCATAAACTTCCCATGTGTATTGCTCATTCCATTTGGGAGTGAAACTGTCTATGATCGTTCTGGTTCGAATCCACTTTGAGCCATATTTGGCAACACAATAAGCATCAGTAGTGTTCCTCCCATCCTTTGTTTTCATGGGCAAGAGGCCTTGAGCATTCAAAATACCCAATTCAAGAACCCCAATACTGGGTTTCCAAAGTTGCTTAGCAGTGGGCCTCAAATCACTACTATAATGAGTGGACTCGTCCAAAACATGATAGCCACCATCCAAACAGATCCTCAGATGAATCCTACTTGCGAACTTGACCTCCTTCTTCTTCTCCCCCTCCGTAATGGCATGCTTCTCCAGATTATACCACCTCGAATTGACAGGCTTATGATCGAACCTTTTCTCTACACTTTGCAATGGAATCACACACTTACCCATTAGCTCATCTTTATTGGGTCCAATCCTATCTTCAACACTAATAACCAGGTGTTCCTCAAAGGGTTCAGCAGCAACAAACATCAAATCCTCATTCCAAAGTGGGCTCAAGCTCCTGCTCTGAGAAACCCTAGTTTTCATACCCTGGCTCCCAAGCATAACCTTGACATGAACTTCAGGGAACCGAGCCTTATCACTAGGCACCAAATCTTGGGCTTCGATAACATTAACTCTAAGATACCAGAGCTTGGGTGACAAATAAACCTTCGATCTTATATTACTAAGACCTTCACCATGTATGGTTGCTGCATCAGAGTGCCAAGCTTCAGGAAAAGCTTCGTCAGCCTGTGTACCCATCCAAACGGCGAGCATAAGCTCGCCTTTAGCCTTATCTCCCTTTCGGTCCTCAAGCCTATACCACTGTGGAGCCAATGGACTATCAGGGGGGACTCTTTTAGGGATTTCATTGAGATCAAACGTAACTCTCCCAATAAAATCATCTTTTACCAGGTCCTTATCTTTCACAGTGACTTCGATCACAGAGAATTGGATTCGTTCTTTAGAGAATGCAAATACCTGGTTCCATTCAGGGTTTGTCTTCTTTTCAAAATGCCTGGTTGTTCCCTTGTAGTTTCCAAGCTTCACCTCCACATAGGGATCACAACTTCCTGTAACATCTGTAGGGAGGTCTTTGGCTTTTACAACCCTGACATAGAGGTACTGCATTTGCTCGACAAGATCATAAGTGCTCGTGAGCTTATCTCCATGAACGCCACCTCCTCCGAGATGGGGTGATGTCTCCTTTAAGGAATAGTCCTCTGATTGAAGCGGCCTCTGCATTTTCGCTATATCGAAAAGTTTACAGTTTCTGAGCAGTAACCAGAAAAAGAATAGCCTCCAGAGAACTGTGAACTTTGATTACAGGGTGCAACTGATTGAAAGTTCAAACCTAGTTTCCAGATACAGAGTAGTGGAAAAGAGCGGTTCCGTGTAGTTTATAGGTTGAAGGAAACCTAGAACGGAGAAGACAACGTAGTGACTGGAGAAAGACCCTAGACTCCTGAAACAAAAACTGGATGAAGGTAAACCCTAGGTTGAAAATGGGTAAAAGCTTCACAAGTTTAAGTTTCAACCGTAGATCTCTGTTTCACTCACCAAAGGTAATTTAAAGGAAACCCTGCATTTTCTCAGATCATCAAACCTGCAACAACAGAGAGGAATGCTTTAGAATACAAAACCATTAGGAGAGCCAACCAACCCCAAAACAAAAAAAAATATGCAGAAGAAAGGTTGAAGGAGCCTCAAAGTTTGAAGTCCAAACCCCAACTTACAGTTACAGAACTTTGCTAAAACCTTAATAAACCGAAACTCCAGTATTTTCAGTATTCTATGAACATTTTCAAAAGGGAAGAGAAATTTTATACAAGCAAAAACCCTAGATCTGCATTACGGAACTTTCACGAAGGTCGAAGAAGAGAAAGCGCGGCATTTCAATATAGAGAAGAGAAAAAGAAATCTCTGCAACTTTTCATAAAGGGGAAAAAAAAGTTCAAAGGAGAGAGAGTGAGAAAGCTTCAAAAGGATGTACGATACCCGAATCTGAAATAGTATGCGGAAGCATGAAAAGAAGATTCAAAGAGCGCACAACGAAACCCTAATTTCGCTGAATGATCACGCCCCAAGGTCCTGCGATGGAAAATACCGCATTTCCCGGAATTTTTAAATTTTAACGGATGGAAATTAAACGGTAGAGAGAGAGGGGAAAAAACCAGATAGAGAGAGAAAGCAAGAGTCGTAAAAAGAGATTTAGAGAGAGAATGTCGTGGACAGAGGGGATTACAAAGCCAGACAGAGGGCGAGAGAGTTAATAAAAATAAAGGTTTAGAGAGAGAAAGTTGTAGAGAGAGAGAGAGAGGTAAATCAGAGCATGGCAGGCTCCTGCCCTTAGCTTTTTCTTTCTCACTCTACCCCAGAATAAGAACACGGGAGAAACCCTAGGCCCACGTGTCTCGAAGGAGCCACGCGTTCGAGGCTTATTAGCTACATGTGTGTCTAGACTCGTGCGATTTGAGCATGTGGAAGGTACGGTCACGATCACGGGATCCAGCTAGGAGGGCTTTGTCGGCATCCTCTTCCCACCACGTGGGGCCCACAACATTCTACAAACAAATACGGAATACCCATTCTAGGCAGGTGACTTTTAGTATTCCACCTAATCTTTTATGCCATGGATAAATTATGATTGAGAAATTTTCAACCCAGTTAATAATACTCTCGCAACCACCCGGTTCCGGCTTATATGAGCTGGAGCATCTTTATTACCAAGATGCTATGCGGTTCTGGGGTTGGAAATATTTACTGCTTTAGATTACAATTCCTTTTCCTTTTTCTTTCTTTTTTTTTTTTATTTAATTTTTTTTTTTTTTATGTTGTTAACTGTTTTAGATCTTTAACTAAAAATTTCAAATTTAAAAAATAGTAAAAATTAAGCAAACTTATAAATGGTGAAAATTTTGAAAGTAATAGTCGAGATGTTGTGTAATGATATGTTAGGACTTGCATTTTTTGTTTTTGTTTCATATTCAAATATCTCGAAGTCAATATGATCAATTCAAGGGTTTTTTAATGTCAGAATTCAACCAAAAATGGTAGAATTTTTAGGTGCATATTACTTATATAATATAAGGTTAATAACTTATATATAAACTTTTTCTTCTTTTTTATTTTTTTATGAAACTCGTGTTTAGGGTATAAATGATTGTCATTCTAGTCAAACTCATTTCGGAATGGACTCGACAAGTTTGAAATAGGACCCTAACCCGACCTAATACATAGTTGGGCATGGATCGATCAAATCCGGACCTGACTCATCGAGTCGACAGGGTCCAAGTCAAAATATAAAAGGAAAAACAATAGCATGTAAACAATATTATATATTTTTATGATGTGAAATAAATATAATTGTATGTGATATATACATAATAATAGGTGGGGTCAAGATAGGTAGGGCTCGACTTGGAGCTAACTGGACCTAACTCTATTCCTTTGGACTTGGATCCGGCATGCAGGATCGAGTAACCAGACCCCAATCCAAACTGGGTATGTGGGTCTATTAGAATGCCAACCCTATTCATGTACCTTTGTTTTTTTAATTTTTTATCTTTTCCAAAATTTCAAGTTTCGAACTGGATCTTGAAGTTCCAAATTAATTCACTTATCTTTTTAGAGTGAAAGATCGGTAAGGTACCTTGAGTTCCAAACTGGATCTTGAAGTCCAAATTAATTCATTTATCTGTTTTAGAGTGAAAGATCGGTAAGGAACTTTGAGTTCCAAACCAGCCCTTCACTCTACAAAAATACGCGAGTGAGGTGAATTGAAATTGCACATTAAAAAAAAAACACTTGTGCAAGTTTGAAACTCCAAGTTTTGAACCCGCTCAATTGTCTGTTTTTCTTGTGAGACTGATTTAGAAGTTGGAGTCAGAATTGAGGTTTTTGGAAAAAATTAAAGAAAAAGAAAAAAGAGGACATGAGTGTAAACTTTTAAAATAAGTAACATTTTGAAACATCACACAACTTAAGGAACATTTGAGTTAATTTCCCAACATAATAAATTCCATCTTTCTATTGATAATAATTAATAAGCAATATAATCGTTGCAAATAAACTTAGGGGTGATAGTTCGTAAATACATTATGAAAACGAGTAACCCAATTATGTTTAGCTAATCTATTCCCTTACACAATAGAAGTTATATGTTTCCTCTTATCCAACCCTTCATTTCTAAATGGATGGCTAAGATTGCCCCAATCACAATGTCACATCTCTAAACTGTTTTATTTTTAATTTTTTTTCTATAAACTGTTTTGACACCAAATTTTGGACGTACATTCCTCTATTAAACTCGCATCAACGAAAAATGTAAAAAAAATATTTTAGAAAAAATAAAATGATCAAAATACCCCTGAAAGTTTCAAGGGGGTAGTTTGGTTATTATTTTTCATTGAAAAATTATTGTTAATATTTTTTATAGGTGCGTCCCAATGAGATGAGAAGATGACAAGTACCAAATTTTATATTACAAAAATTGTATTAAAAAAATAAAAATAAAATACTTTGAGACGTCGGATCTAAGTTAAAAGGTGAGTGGCTTTCTTGATAAAAATGGATGGCTGGATGGTAAGGGTCACATAGAACTTCTATGGTAGCTTGCCCTTTAAATCTGGCTTGTCCAAGGAGCCAAAATCGTCAATGTCCATTTATAAAGGTGATGATGGGGGTAAAGAGAGAGAGAGGGGCCTTACCCATCCCCACCATCGGTATGAAACGAAGGACGATGTGGATGCACTTTTCCTCCCTCGGACAGACAATGGCAGATTTCGGAAAGAACAGCAGTTTATATCCGCCGTCCATCATTGGATAAAGACATCGAGATGAAATGACGTTCATGTGTATACAGGACAATACATATTGTGTATGGTACACTCCAGCTCCACCTATTCTTAAGATTCTATTCTAATCCAAGGAACTGTTGGTGGGCCAACAGAGGTCGATGCACACTCTAGAGATTTAGTCCTTACGTGGTTTAATCCGGATCGTCCATATATTGGAAATAGGAAGTGATTGAATCAATGGTTATCATCTATTTAATCCGGACCATCCATTTGAACCATAGTAAAAGTTTGGCCCCTAAGCAAGCATACGCCTTAACCTAAAGTTTGGCCCCTAAGCAAGCATACGCCGTAACCTCTATGGACTAGGACAAAAGGCCAAACTGTAAGTAGTACGCAGCTTGTCCTTTCCTTTAAAAGTACGACGTCAAGATTAAAAAGAATTATCCAAGATATTTTGGCGGCACCCACCAAGTGTTGAACACTGTATGTAGTACACAATACCCTTTGCTTTTAATTTAGAGAAGTTAAATGTTACCATTTGGTGTAGTTGCTAAAACAGGTTGCTAGGGATGTATCATTCGCCGTGCTCAAAAGTCTAGATTAAAACTACGAAGTATAAAATTAAAATTATTAAAAATTTCTAAACTTTGCACCAAACTTAGAGCGGCCTGATTTTACATCAAATGGAGAAGAGAGTCCCGACTGGCTCGAACTAAAAACTAAAAAAATTATATAACCATTTATTTTTTATACAAAGATATACGACCACTACACGTGAAACTACGTAGTGGGCAATATGTTATTGAATGGGCACAAAATTGAAAATTTTGTAATGCACATAAGTTTATTGAGTTTTACATCCAATGGTTAAAAATAATCATAACCTTCTAATATAGTAGTCTACATGCTGCTCATAATTAGTGGACATTCCACCGTAAAACGACCATAACATCAGAAAAGATACCTTCTGCCACTGACTCAAACCAAAAACGCCCTCAATTGTCCAAAGTAGATTTCCATTGCTCGACGTGCCCGCCCTTCTCAAACCCCAACAGGCACATATAATTGATTGGAAAGAGGACGCACAGTGCCATTTCCATAGAGAGGCCCCCCACCCAACAAAAAGAAAACCGAATATTGGATAAAGTTTTTGTTGTTTTCTTCCCCCTTTTCTCTCTATCATCATTCTCTCTCTTTGAGACAAAAACGAGTTCAAATGGACTGGGTTTCAGGGCCATAGAATCGAGAAATAACAGGCCACTTCCATAAAAGGAAGGCCTTTTAAAAGTAAGCATTTTACGAAAAGAAAAAAAAAAAAGAAAGTAGAAGTTCTGAAAGTAATATATATTGGGGTCCAGCAATGTTATAGGACAAAGAGATTCCAACCGTCCAATGTGCAAATGTAGGAAAAGAAACCCCAACAATCCAACTGGTACATTCCTCGTAAAACTTCAATACTTTTAAGCAATCCAAGACCAGACTTAAAAAGCTTTTTGTCTTTGTATGAACCCCACCTATTCTTATAAAACCCTAACTCAATCAAATGCCACTTTCATCGACATTACATCTAAAAGCCACATAAGAGGAGCAATCTTTCAACGGTAGGCAACACTGGCTTCCAACCATTGACCTTGTAGCGTGGTCCTTAAGCCCACGTTAAGGCAATTTTGGACATAAGCCAGGCTGTACTACCAAAAAGGATTTATAAATTTAGGACATTGCAAAATAAACACTTAAAAGAAGGAAACATTCACATTCCAATAACCAAGTTCTTGGGTGTGTCTGGTCATCAATATTTCAAAGGCAAAAAGGAGACGAAAGTTTCTCACTATATTCTCACAGCTCATCAAAGTCCTGCGACAAAAATGCGGAAGAGAGAACTTTGATTTAAAGGGAGCTATCAAATGAACCTAATCGACTCCTTGAAGTGAAGTGGCAACATCCTCAGCAGTGAATTTACCCTTTCCCTTCTCGGCAGCCCTGCCCTTGCCCTTCCTCTCCAAGAGAGATTTCCTGTCTTTGTCAAGCTTGAGTTTTGTTACCATCACCTTTGATGGATTAATTCCAACATTCACAGTTGAACCTAATGCATCACAAATTAGGCTCCCATTAGAAAAATTGGAAACGAAGTAAATCAATACGATAAGTACAGTATTTATTTCACTGAAAAGAGAATTGGGAAAGGAACAATCAATGCAAGCACTTAAACAATTTCTCATGGACCTAAAAGTCCACATGCATGTCATGCCAAAGGAAAAATGTGGTCCCTTTTTTGGCTTTCAGCATGCATGCAATCCATTATGAAAATTTCACCAAGCATGCATTGCTTATGGATGCCAATGGATTAATCAAGAATGACTTAGAGCTTAAAGCACATCAAGTATAAATGCAGCTGCACAAGTAAATAAAAACACCAAGTCGAACAGAGAGTAAAGGTCCTAAGGCCAACTTGCGCAATCATTGCCCAAGAGAAACCACTACATCTTAGAAGATGTGGCCCATGGCCAACTTTAGGGGAATCTAGAGGAGAAGGAATAATATCATCTCCAACGCTACCTATAACAACTAAGATAAGAGCTACTGTACCAAAGAATCACCAGGTGGATTCTTGACCCCAAAAGATTCTCTGACCTGAAATCCAAGAGCTTGATTTGCAAATGGTGGTAGCACATCCTCATATACAGCCATTACATATACCAGGCTCTCAACCGGCCAAACCAACAGATGGGTCTATAAAGCTCATTCTGAGCACTAAAGCACCACAGTTTTTGAGGGTGCTGACCATCTGGGCTTATTAGTGTCTCTAAGAACATCTTTCAGAAGAATGGCACTCGCCATTGAGGCCATGTCCTGTTCTAGTGTGGTCCCACTCCCCATTTCCTACAATCCTCTCAATAGATGGGTATGACCCAATGGACCAGAATTATTTCACAATAAAGCAATTATAGTATGCTTCCCAATGTTGATAGGAGTATATTCATATGCAATACGACTATAGGCACATGCGATGGTAGGTGCTCACAAGTCCATAAGAACCTGAATGCAGTTACGCATGTTTATAAATGTAGATGTAGCATGCAATAAGAGCAAGTGCATGCACATGGTAAGCAAGCCAGCACATATGTGAATGCATGCTCTGCTTGTGTGTGCATGTGTGTGAGAGAGAGAGAGAGCGGTATATCATCTTCAGCCCACTCTTTTTGGCATTGAGATTGTAGAATGCAACTCTCATTAGGTGAATACAATTCTATTGGTTAACAGATGTAAGATTCAATTGGCTGAGGGTCTAGGTCAGATTCTTTAAAAGCTTTTGACTGCATCGAAAGCATTCTCTGATTTTCTCAGATGTCTGGAATTCTTTTACCAAAATATTTCTTCTTGCTAGAGCCCACACATCCTCCATAAGGGTGGTTTTTAAGAAATGTTAAGTATATCATGTAATTGTGAATCATGGTACAAATGTTTGCATCCACAAATTGTGGATGCCACTCTTACACACTACGAAAAATCCCTCTCATAAACATTTCCAGGTCTTGAAAGAAAAAGTTACAAAGATAATAAGAGAATGTGACCCATGGTAAGAAAGAAAGAGAGAGCTCAAGAGGGTAAGGGGAAGGATAGAGAAAGAGTGGTGGGTGCTAGCGCCAAAGCAAATGAACATAGGGACAATTTGCTGAAGGCTAAAAGGTGGTTATGACACATGTATTTAATATTTCAGATGTAGAGACCAAAGATAAAAATCTAAATGAATGGCGAAGGCATGAGACTCATGAAAAATAAAGAACGAGCATGACTTGGAAAGCAAGAACCAAGTGCTTATCTCAAAGCATGTACAATATGCAGCCAGAAATGCAGTCAAATGTATACAAGCCTGTGTGCACAACACATGCAAAAGTCATGAAAATGTTCACATATGTAGCATGTTATATGGAGATGTTTATGATGAGATCATGTACTTCTGATACAAGGAGGTCACAATTATTATCGACCGTTAGATTTGAGATCCGTTAGTTGAGGGTGTCATTGTTTGGGGGGACAAAGTCCAAAACAAAATTTTTTGAATATTGTTGCAAAATTTCATCTATTGGATTTCCAACCAATGGTCAAATGTGATTGTGACCTCCTTGTACAAAAAATAAACCGTCTCATAATATACAATCCCTATATATATATATACAGACACACAATGAAACTATTTACTTTTTATACAAGGAGGTCACAATTATCATTGACTGTTAGATTTTAAAATCGGGTGGTTGAGGGTATGTCATTGTTTAGGCAAAAAGTCCAACACAAAATTTCTCGAATATTGTGACACTTTCATCTATTGGACTTCACATCCAATGGCTAAAAGTGATTGTGACCTCCTTGTACAAAAACTAAATGGTCTCATAATATACATCCCTATATGTATAACAAAAAAATGTTCAAGTATGCACTCTGCATTCATAAACATCATATATAGGCATTTTATGGATTTCACTGTTGTAGACATTCATGTTGCGCAACTGTTAGGCATGTTCAATGTCTGTTAGAAGTATCATAATCTCAGTGAAATAAAAAAGTACATAACCTAGTCATAAACTAAAACTTAGATCGATCCCGACAGATGGCACAAGAGACTAACAAAGGGATGCTAAGCATTTCTGACCCATGGGAACATGTTTTCCAATGTACACAAGAATCACTAGCATAGCTTGGCTTGAAATATTTATAGTTGTATAATATTTTCCAATGACACCAACCACTTTGTTTTTCACCTTCAAATCAAGTAACATAAGAAGGTTCCTAGACATGGGACCTGGCAGGTTTATTTCATAGAGAAGCAGAATACTTTGATGCCTGCTTAAGAATGAGGTAACAGAAGATTTGGTCCCAAAACAAAATATTGAAAATATAGAAAGAATATGACCTCTACAAAGAAATAGCAAGAACTATGATCCAAAAAATAAACAGAAACGAAAAAGGATTTGGAATTACAAGATATAAGCTCAATCAAACTAGTGTATACCATTCAACCCCAAGAGAGGTGGCCAAACTTACCATTCACCTTCTCCCTGGTGATGCGCTCAATATGAATAACCCATTTCTTTCTGTAGACCAGAACAATCTTGCCCTCTCTTCCTTTAAAAGTTCCTCTGACTACTTGCACCTCATCATCTTTCCGAACCGGAACAGATCGAACCTGCAGACAACAAATAAATGCAGAAAACCACAAAATTTCATGAATATGAACAAATCTGTACATGAAAATGATTTTTTTTTCTTCGAAGAAACCACAGATAAATTCAAGAGACCACCGAAATGAATTTATCAGCATGCTGAAAATGAAATGGTATATGTAGCTAGTCGCTATATGAATGTAACATTTGTGCCTGTGTAACCCAATCACCATATCACAATATCAGCAAAACTCATAATGTGAACCTAACAAACATTCAACCATTGCAACAAACTTACATTGTATTTGTTCCTAAGCTCAGGAGAAAGGGGGGCACTCATTAGAACGCGTATCACGCTCGAAGGGGCTTTAAAGTGCGCCTTCCGGCACTTTCTTCTGGAGCTCGTCACTCCTGCAATCCCCAAGTATATAACATTAGCAAAAGTAAAAATACTTCCAATGGCCACGTGAATTTATAGGCCAAGAAAATACAAAGCTTACTTGGATTGTACTTCATCTTGACTGGGCCTTCTTCCACCAAAACTCAGTTCCCCCAAGCCCTGAGGTATAAACAGTGTACCTTTCAACCAATAGCTTTCTCAAATTTTTCAGAAAAAAAAAATATTTTTCACTTCAAGATAAAAGTGTTCCAAACAAATTTTATAGTTTGCACAAGTTCCATTATTATTTGCCAGACTTCAACAAGGTCACATTTGCAATCAGTACAAGATTTCAGGTAGTCTCTAAACTTAAAACCTTAAATCTAAGTTGTCAAAACTTAATCTTTTTTTAAGATATGCCCACCATAACATAGCCAGGAACCTGAATTCAATAAAGCCTTTCACAGAAAACGAAACCAAAATTAGGTAACATATATCAAACTCCACATTCAAATCTCCCAATATTTTCTTAGAAGTACTGATGGGTAAATCACGCTTCTTAATAAAACTTAATAAATATATTTAAATTCATTAGTTTTGGTCGCCTGCATTTGCTAATTACAAACCTTAACGCTGTTATGATTAGCTGATGGTAACCTAAAGTTAACCTACTGTTAGCTTAAGGTAGCTAAAGTTTTTGTTTTTTGAAGAGGGCTTAAGGTTGACTTTAGTTAACCTAAAGTAAGCTTAAAGGTAACCCTAAGTTACGATTAGCTTAAGGTAAGCTAGATTAGGATTTAAATTAAGTTTCCCTCTTTGTATCCCATAAACTTAAACTTTTTCATTTGGCAAGCAGATGACACTAATACAAGCAAGGCAGCAATACAATTAGATCTGAACAACTGAAACTTTTCCTTTTTTCAGGTCATTCAGAACTAAAACTCTTCCCCCTCCACTGCCAACAATACTAGAAAGTCTGCCGTCTTTACTTTTCTTCACGTTTTGTGCAGTGTAACATTGTCTGCTACCTTTACCCCTCTCATTGACTTGCCCAATGCATCAACAGGTTGCTTAATAAAGGAAGAATTTCATGCCAACAAGGACAGGTTCAGGGACGATACTCAGCAGGATACAAGTCCACCAGACAATTGCTTTCCATACTTATTCAGCAATGGCTTTGAGCTCTGGCAATAACGTTGGCAGCTACTCTCAGGCATGAAGGGACAAAGCTCACTAATTCCAAAGGACCAAGTGCAACATGAAGAACGAGGCTGGTGAGTTGTAGATTACTTGCTAATTTTGTGGACATCTTCATCTTGAGGGATCGAGTTAGAGAAAAGAGACTTCATCCCTTCCCTAGTGCTAAAGACCTCCTCCACCACCACTTCTCTCCAACCACCATCTCCTTATATCCCCCAGACAATGCTTCTCTACTCCCCCATCGCCTCAAACCTCTTTCTAACAACCATCCTTACAGGCAAAACAACAGAAAATGCCTCCAATGCTGAAAATCTGAACCAGGCACTATTCTTGGAGGTGCAAAAGACTCAAACTTCTCGTGGGACTAGTGCAAAACCATTAACTAAAGTTCTATCATCTGATTCAAGACCTTTGGTCTTCCCAGCTGCTTCTTACACTCACAGCTGATAGTGGAAGAAAGGTAGCCATAGACAAAGCAGAGGCCCAATGCGTGGGACGATGACTTCAAAATTCGCTTGAAAACATGATTCGTGGTTATACACGCACAGTGGAGCTTCATGGTTCAAAGAATTCAACAAATCTAGACGCAGCTTAAATCCTTCCTAAAGGTAAAACTTATACCATATTCAAGTTTTCAAACTAGAATGATCTGATCAAAATAACAAGTGGGAGGCTTTGGTTTATTGAGGCCATTACATGTATTTGAAGAGTTGGAATGGAGAGAGTTCTTCAAATTACCAAACTCAGATCTATGGGCTCACCTACCAGATTTACCATACAAGTCAGCTCCATCATTGGTTCATATTGCTACAGCTATTGGGAGGCCAATTTCAATGGATAGTGCAACCAAAGAGGAAGGCATTTAGACTCTACCAGAATCTGTATTGAAATGCAGCCTGGAAATGTGCTACCTCAAGAAATCCATGTCGATCCTGGCTAAAAAGATGTGATTGCTAAAGAAACTGAGTACAAGAGAAATCCATAAGCTATTTGCAACTTATTTTTTATAAGGGTCACGAAGAAGCTCTATGCATCATCCATAAATGTCTACAGCAAACAAGGGAACCGATCACAGCAAAGAAGCAGAAGGAATAAAGAATGAAAAAATCCCCAAGTTGGAGCAACAGCAAAGGAATAGCGAGTGGCTTTAACAAAGCATCAATGATTCCCCAAAACATCACCCCTGATTCACAATGCCCCCTTCTGGCTATTTAGAGCTCTCAAGGAGGAAAGCAAGCCGCCACAAGGCAAGATGCAGCAAAAAGAAACACAGAACTACAGAGTGAACACCCAAAGAGGGTGGAAGAGCTTCCTCAGAGAGCCAGGAGATTTTTGGTGCAAAACCTCATCAACATAAAGGTGATATTTTGAGGGAAAACAACTTCCAAAATCTTGGGAAAGTAAAGAGGAAGTAACATCTGGAGAAATCAATTTTTTGCCGGAAAACAAGGAAACAGATTTTCCGATGCCTGAATCTTCTCTGCCAGCATTGGAGTCCCATTGGCTGGATCAAATCCATATCCAGCCCTCTCATTAGCCCTCTCAAGCCGGATCCATAAAACCCATTAAACATTCTTTATTTTTTCTTTTTTTTTGAAATGTAAGTTGAACGATTCTAATTCCCAACCAATAACTACACAAAAACCAAATTCCATAAAAGTCCAAGAGGTACACAGATGTAAGCAAGAGAACAGGCAACACATCTCAATCCCAAACTGGCACAAGAACAATGTAGTAATGTAGTACATGTCAATGTTATGGATATCAACATCAAAGGAGGAGACAATACTCCACACAAGAAAGCTCCAGATGTAACAAAATGGTTCATCATGGTAACAAAAAAAAAAAAAACACACACAAAGAAAAAGATGAAAATAGATCCCCTTTGAAGAAATACTTGGAAAGGTCGAATGGCAGAAATGGCAGCGAACATGAATGGAAGGATGGAATGCAGAATTGGTAGCAAAATAAAAAAAGGCATGAATCAATAAAGCATCATAGAATATCTTAATTAGGGTATAGAGTTAGGTATCATTAGAGTAACTGTTGTACGCATACTCCGTGGGTCTGTAAACCATTAAGTTGTACCCTTGATCCTAATGTTGACATCCTTTAGTATTGCTACAACGGGTGGGGTTCCCATACAGCCCTTGCAATTCTAACTTCATCTGGACAGTATGAACAGTTGACCAAAAGAAAAAAAACAAACAATGTGTCAAAAAACGCTCAGCAACCCTTAGGCGGCAGGCCTGGAGCCCAGCTCCCAAGCAGGATCCCAAAACCTCAAGCGCAGTGAGATGAAATAATTCAGAAATACGCGTACATGTGATGTTCAAATACACATATATGCAAATATTTGTGTTAATTTGATATTTTTATGCATCTTATGTATTCTAACTAACTTTTTCCATGCAAATATGTACACAGGAATGTTGAAACACGTTCAAAACTTCAAATCATTGAAAATTCAGTGAAAAAAATTACCTCAAATCATTGAAAATTTAGTGAAAACAATTAAACAATTATGTGGTGTATTGATCTTTAATTCTCCAATCCATACTCCATAGTGACACAATCATGATACACAGTTACACGCACATAGACATAGTCTTCTAATACCTTCACTAGAACCCTAAAAAAAATTCCACAGCAAAAGTCTTCTAATACCTTCACTGGCACCCTAACAAATGGATTCTTCTTCAAACCCCAGATTTCTTTTTTCGATTCACAAAAAATTTGCAAAATCAAACAATTTGGTGTGTTTATAGGGTTTAGATTTTTCTTTTCCCCACTTTGGGGGGTTTGAAATACCCCCCAATACTTTATTAGTCTATTCCATGGATCAAAAGGTCCCAAAATGCCCTTAGGAGCCTTTTTATTACACAAAAAAGGGTCCAACCCCAGGGCACCCGCCCAAGATTAGGCGTTGGGCACCCACCTGGGCCACCTGGGCAGGGGCCAGCTACTGACGCCCATGGAGTGCCACCCAGGCCTAGGCATGTGGCCTAGGGCCTTTTGGACGCCTGGGCACCGGGAGTACCCTCTTTTTAAACAATGGAAAAAAACGGAAATAATGGATACCATTAGTTCTTCAAACAAACGTCTTTTCATGATTCCAAGGCCGGGGGGGGGGGGGGGGGGGCTGATCCCAAGGGTGACTCGTTTAGTGACTCAGTGTACCTCAACACCATTCAAGGTCCTCATTTTTAGTGGGTCATGAAAACTGATGAAATTCTCACGTGAAATCATTGCCAACATTGAGTCAATTATAAATTAAAAATATATATCACTGCCAACAGTGCGGTCTCCAGTTATTGAATATCTTTGTTTTTATGAATGGAATCAGAAGAAATTGCTGACCACCTATTCATTAATTGTACTTGCCCAAGGAGGATTCTAGACTAACTTCTCGCCACCTTTGGCAGTTGCTAGGTTTCTCGATCCTTAGTGAACATGTGGCCCCTTCCTTGAAAAAGCATGCAGCCATGCACTATAAAATTTTTTCACACCATCATGTTTTGGAGTAATTTAGTACGCGCGTAATGGGAAAATTATGAGTCAAAGAGACAAGTATTGAGGCAACTAAACAGTGAACCCAAACATCTAAGCAGGCTAAAGATTACTGACATTGAAGATAAGGCTCAGAGGACCTTTTGTATGAAAAAAAACTACAATATCCAAACCCCAAGACAAGTCACACACTCCACTGCCAGGAAAACACATGTTAACCATTTATAATTGTAAGCCTTAGCCATGGGTACAGGAAGAGTGATTATAACATTGAAAGCTAAGTGCTGCTGGCATGCTTTGGGGATTTTAGTGCATCAGTGCTATATTTGACCCAGTAGCAGAGCATGCTTACTGGTTTCACAACTATATCAAAGCAACCATTGCGACCCACCTATCGGACAAAATATAAAAGTTAATGGCAACCCCTCAATCTTGCACTTTTACTAACATTGGAACTCTTTGTCAATTAGAGAAAGGCCGTAGAGACCAAATAATCTATTTAAAACTTGCAATTTCTATCCCTTAACTAGCTAATTGATGAGGTGAAGGAGACATCTTTATGTTCAAGAAGAGAAGGAAACACAGACTCAATGCAAACAATTATATGCTTGCTCAAGTCAGTTCTTGCTTGCTCTTCTATAACTCTCTTTCAGCAATTCAAAGGTCATCTCACCGCCACTCACAAGGTGAGGAACACGTTATATCCAAATCACCCAGTTAGTACATTGAGGACAGACCCTAAATGGAATGGGTAACAAATCTGGAGAGGAGGTGAGGGTAATGAACTTCAGAGAAAAATCAGGCAGAACTTTTACAGGAGAGAAAGAGATAGAGAATTTCATCCCATTCTCAGGCTAACCAATGTAATGGTTTTGGATGCAATTTCTAGAGACAGAGAGAGCATTCCGCTCCTTCACATCAGATTGACCAATGTACCGGCAGTTCTACTAGTGTACTTACACATGATGAACGATAAGTTTCAATCAAAATAAAATGGAAAATAGAAAACCTTAAAAAAACCTGCACTTTACCAGGAATCAACGAGCAAAACAAGCTTTCAAATAAATGCAAGCTAAAACCATGAAATCCTAAGCAACAACTGCTCTAGCAAGTTATCATTGCATAGAAAAGGTTGAAAAAGGCCGAAAAGGGCACGAAAATTCTGATAAATTGCTCAACAACTCACTTATCCATAATCATAACGACAAATAGGGAAAATACCAGAGAAGAGGCGGATAATTAATTGATTAAAGAGAAACAATCATGCGAGTATTCAAGCAAAGATAGAAGAAACCTAAATCTGGTAACAGAGTTGGCTTGTGGAGAAGAATACTTCAGTCGTCAGGTCTCTGCAACGAAAATGGAAGGAGAAAAACGCTAGGGTTTTGAAACGTTTATATAAAACGCTAGGTTAAATGGATTGTTTCACGAAATGACTTAATTGGGCCCTTTGCTTTACAAAAATGACAGACGTACCACTTAGCAAATCGGCGTTTTAAACGCGAATGTTTGAAAAACTCGGAGTTTTTTTAAAAACGTTTTAAACTACGTATTTTTCAAAAGAGCGTAAAAAAATCACGTCCTTTTCATAAAAAAATTTAATACGCAATTTTTTAATTTTTATAACAAGTCATTTTAAGAAAACCTTTCTATCAATAATACTCCATGGTACACAAAGAGAACCATGCGATAGAGAACATCTTTAGAGAGAGAAAGATAACGATCTCGATGAAATTAGGAAAAAGCAGAGATAAAGAAATTTCAAAAATCCCCAAATTGAACTACATCACAAATGTTGGATAGGTATGGAAATCGATACATAGAGAGAGAGAGGAAAAAGAGAACCATTGTGATGGGTACAAATAGAGAAGGATGACGATCTCCAAAGTTAACAATCTCAAAAAAAATAGGAAAAAACAAAAATAAAGAAGTTTCAAAAGTCCCCAAATTGAACTACATCACAAATGCATGATAAATATGAAGAGCAATAGATATAGAAAGAGGAAAAAGAGAACCACTATTTATAATCCAAGCTCTAGAGAAAGGGACCGTATTGTTTATATTGAAGTATAGATTTAACATTAGTTTTTAAAAATCTCTAAATTTAACAGTATTTCAAAGAAATTAGGGAAAAATAGAAAAGAGAAACAATCTAATAGAAAACTTTCAAATCACATAAAGAACCCCTAATTTCAACCCGATTTTTTCATTTGACTTTTTAAAATAAAAACGATTTATTTTGATTTTATGGTGGACCGATATATTGATATTCCCCAACTTGCTAACTATGTGTATGATGCCTCTGGCGTGAGGAAAGAGAGGACGGGGGTTCATTTCTTCCGATTGGAGAGAGAGAGAGAGGGAGGGCAGATTTTGTGTGTGTCTCGATCGAAAGCATGTGCTATTAAAGGGGCAGTAAGAAAATTAACTAATCCACCTCCATGTTCAGTGATGAGCGATTGAGGTGGCGTGGGAGCCCCCTACACCATATTAACTATATGCATTATGTGTGTGCATGGAATCTTTTGAAACAACTATTTTTGACATGGATGCAATCAATAGTTCTGGTGTTAAAAAATTACGTCGAAAATCTTTCAATCGCTTATTAACCATTTAAAAATATTATTTTTTAAACTAATAGTAGATACGATAAACCGTAAAAATCAATTTCTAAGGAAGTCATTGTTCTTCAAGCCACTGAGCCTTGCGAGATCTTGAAAAGAGCACGCTTGAAATATTTTGAAAAATTACAAAAGAAACCCAAATCTATACTTTCTATACAACTTACACCCAATCTAACTTTGTCTCTCAATTTTTTCTCAAAATATACTTTCTATGCAAAAAACCCTTAATCGAGTAAAAAAAAAAAAAAAACCTAAACTACCCTTCCTTACTTTTATATTACCCACGCCTCTCTCTCCCCTGTCTCTCCAAAATAGGAGGCTCCGACATCGTGTAAATGCGGTGCCGCGGTAGCACTTCGGCACTGTGTAAAGTTCGGTCCGACAGTAAGGATTCGACACAATATAAAATGCAGTCTGGTAATAGGGCTCTGGCACTGTATAAGCTGCGGTCCAGCAATTGAAAGGACAGTCCGACAGTTGCAAGGGGGGATCCGGCATTTATGCGTTTCGGCAATATGATGGTGCACTCCGGCAATGTGCTACTGAGGTCCAAAAGTCAACGTCAAATCTCTCCGAAATGATTTTTGTGCACGGGAAGGGCATTTCCATCTAAAAAATGACCTTTTTTCCTTGGGGAGTATTTCCATTGAAAGTTTGTTTTCGAGAAAGAAAAATAAGAAAAAAAAGTTAGGTTGGAGGTAAGTTGCGTAGAAAGCGTGATCTTGGGGGGTTTTTGTAATTTTTCCAAAATATTTCATGTGGAAAATATTTATTTTCTCTAGTGTTTTGAATATTTTGAAAAACGAAATTGGAGGTTGGATCGGCCCTCTCTGTTCTAAGTTTTGACCAAGAGCTCATGGGGTCCAAAATTTTACAACATTGAAAATAATATTATTAGCAAATTAAATTTCTAATCAATTGCATGGATTGTTCTATCACCGTGATTCTTGATTTGGAACTCCTAATTTTTTAAAATATTCTATACAAACCAAGTGGATTCCAGGGAAACCTAGGGAAACCTGTCCTAGGGAGGGGCTTCTGTTGGAATAGGGGCATCTGCTGTTTGGATCTCATAAGAAACATGGAATACGTGTGTCTACTCTTTGGATTGCCGAAAAGATGTGAATCCATAGAAATTTAAGTATAGTTTTTGTATTATTACCCTACATTAATTTTATACTAATTAACTTCTTACATTTATTCTAAACTTTAACATTATTTCTTAGAGAAAATTACATACATATCCGTTATACTTTATTTTATTACGGATGTATCAAAATAACGAGCGGATTTCTTGAGCCCAAGTTTCTTAACAATTAGATCTCTGAGCGTCATTAAGTTCATCCTATGGGAATTACAATAAGGAGACATTCACTTTGTAAATATGTATGCAATTGAGTGAAATCCAATAAATAGTCATTACAATGTTCAAACATAATTTTGTTTATCCAAACTGGATTCAAAATGTAGAAACCAATTTCGCATGCCTACAATGCTTTGCTTATGAAAAGAAAAAAGAAACAAGAAAATTTATTCCAATATCTATGAGATGGACTATTGAACTTTCTACTTATTTTTTTATATTTAATTGCAAAACACCCATCAAAAACTCATGACCAAATTTTTAAAGGATACATAGTTTGATAAATTTCTCCAAACAAATATTGTGGTTCTCCCAAGGGATAAGTATATATTTTATAAGATGATTAAAAGGTATTATAGATTCCCATTGAACCAAAAGAGTTCCAATCTTGTTACAGTCGTGCACTCTCCCCCTCTCCCTCTCTCTCTTATACTAGGGGTTTTAAAAAATTAGGTTTTATCTGCAAAACATTCTAAGTATTAAAGTCAATGGTAGCAATCACAATGAGAGAATGCCAAGAGAGAAAAGAGAAGGAAAAGACAATAAATAAAATTTAGATATGAATTCAAGTCAATTGCTGCTTACTTTCTTGTATCCAAACAATACAAAAATCTAGCATAAGTTTTGGAAGGTTCAAGAGCCATATAGTTCCTTTCATTTAAGTTAACTACTTGCAATCTACTATTCTCAAACAAACCACAACATAACTATTTCCTTTGAGATACAAGCAAATCAATATTAAATCGATGTGAAGTCCAAGAGTCCATCCTTTTCAACCTATTTGCATAGGTCGCAATATACTATTCCATACCATCTGCAAAAACCAAGTTCATGAGGTTGTAGGACAATGTCGAACCTCCTTGCAACTGCTTCATTTGCCTAAATACACTCCTCCCAACCAGGTTCAAATATCCTCCTCGGACCTTCATCGAATTGGAAACCAGTGTAGAAACGAAAAACAATCCACGAAAACAAGAAAGAAGAAACAAACACAAAAGAAAAAGACAACCAACCACAACGCAATGATATACGTGGTTCGGCAACGTGCCTACGTCCACGAGATATGAGAACTTCTTTACTGACAATGGAGACTAGGGTTACCAAAAAGCTCTCTTCCTCACGCCTCTCTGATTACATAATAATCTGCGTTTCTCCCTTAACTTTAGATAAACCCACAATCGCAACAATATATATCGAGTTTCAGATAGATGGTACAAATTACCGAAATATCATTGTACAAATATATATTAAGTCCCAAATATATCGAATCCCATGTACGGATATATCCGAATTTTTCCTCGAGGGCTGCTGCCCCCGAACCCCCCGCATGAGCTAAGTCCGTCAAGTCAACCTGTCAAGACAACTCCTCTAGGCCCCAAGGCCTACGAGCCCTCAACCCTTCAAACTTTTAACGACCCTCTGGAGTCGTCTTTTTGACTCCACCTTGGCAGATCTATTTCCTCAAAATACAAAACATCAATCCTCAACACCCAAGTCAATTAAGGAGTTGTTTAATATTTTTATACAAAAACTTCAACCATTTAATCCTAAAATTGAGTATGTCTATATTGAATATAAGCCCGTACACTTCGTGCATAACATAGGATACTTATCTCCAATCCTTTTTTGTAAGGTTCATAGCACCCACTTCTACCAATGTTTTAAATATGGTTTTGACATGTTTAGGAGCCCAATTGATACACGCTATCACTTCACTACGTAGTAGAGTAATTTGGATAGCCATCCTAGATTTTAATAGTTTTCATATCAAAATCACTTTGTTTCCTTAATTATCAAGTAATTCGTCTTCCATGTCTTCAATTTATTCTTGAAGTTGTCCCTTTTGAGATCCATACCAATGGCCTTTAGAAACCCTCGCTTGATAATGGCCTATTATTGGTTTTTAAGGTCTGTTGCAGTGTTCGTTGGTCTTCAAAATCTGTTCAACCATGACATCGAATAGAGTGTAATTTCTATTCTTTTTTACCATTGAATTATTTTGGCCTTGGAAGAAGTTGATTGAATATCAACCATATTATCATCCATACCTAGTACCAAAAGAGCTATCATCAAAAGACATACTTAGTACCAAAACGAGCAGTCACAACCTTCAAACAATCCTAAAAAATATTAAAATTACATCTAAAAACGTTTAATAATCAATGCACAATGAAAATTCAAAAATTTTCCTAACAAAAAGGGAACAATATAATTTGTTTATTGTTTATATGTAAAAACTTTCCAAGACACAATCTTCAACATATCCATCAGTAGTATCCATAACATCATAAAACAAATAAAGATGCATATACAAATCAAGTATGTGCCTTCAAGCATAGTTTGACATAATATCTCATACAAACAAATAAAATAAACATAATATAGGCACC